GGCTGAGTTGTGCTGCGAAGTCTACACCCAGTGGCGCTGGGTGTGTGTCCCCCCAGGCAGCAGCACCTGGGAAGCACTCTGGGCTCACTGTGCCCGGGGTGGAGTGTGCTGGGGCATGCAAAGATTCGGTTTTCTCTCCTCTTGCAGGTCATTTCTGACTTTGACATGACGCTGAGCAGGTTTGGGTGCAACGGCAGGCGCTGCCCCACGTCACACAGTGAGTGGAAGTTTTCACTGTCGATAATTCTCTTTGGTTGCACTGTTTGTGTTTGGTCTCTGTGGCTTCTGGCATCCTCTGTGCCTTCCTCTGCCAGGCTCTGAGCCTCAACGGCCTGTCCCCAGGCCACCCACTGCCCGCTGCAGGAGCTAACTGCTGGGCTGGCCACCTGCATCCCACGGGCTCAGGACACTGTCCCACCAAGCCATGCCCCGACCAGTTCCTGCCATGAGCTCACAACCAGAGCTGCTGTGCTGGGACCCTGGAGAGAGTCCTTGCTCGCTTTGCTGTGCCACCACAGCTCTCTGGGCTGAGACACGGGAGAGATGCCTGTTAGAAAGCCCTTTGGTCTTGTGCTGCAGCACTGGTGTTTTGTTGTCTTTGCAGATATCCTGGACACCAGCCGTGTTGTCAGCGAGGACGGCAGGAGGAAGGTAGGTGCTGTGTGTCAGGCACTGTGTCTTGGCTCGGTGGCTTTGTCCCTGTCACCCTGTTCGGGAGGTCACGCTGCCTGGTGTGGCAGCTCTCCAGGCTGTGCTGGCTGCCAGGACAGAATGGGGAAGTGTTCTGCTGTGTTTCAGCCAGCAGTGACACAGGAGAAGTCACAAAGGGAAATTGAATTTGCATGTGCAGCTGTGGGTGTTTTGGTGTGATAAGAGGAGGGAGGGGAGCAGTGTCTGTACCTGCAGCGTTCGGAGCGAGGTGAGGACCTGATGTTCACTCCATTCTTCTTCCCTATGTATGACACTCCAGCTGAAGGATCTGCTGCACCATTACTATCCCATTGAAATTGATCCCAACCGGACCCTGGAAGAGAAACGTCCCCTCATGGTGGAGTGGTGAGTGCTGTGTGTGGTGATCTTTGACCTTGTCCTGACAACGTCTTGGCTCCAAAGACTACAGAACATGAGGCTCGGTGGTGGTTCACCCCTGGGCTTGGTGGCAATACTAGGAGTTTAGTTGTTTTGTTTCTGCCTGCTGGGGGTCACTGCCCAGGAGCTCACTGATGCCTTTCCCTAGGTGGACCAGGGCCCACGAGCTGCTGGTGCAGCAGAAGATCCACAAAGGTGACATAGCCCAGATCGTCAGAGAGTCGGAAGCAATACTGAGGTACAGACACGAGGATGTGATGCTGAGGGATGTGCACAGGGATGTGATGCTGAAGGATGGGCACAGGGATGTGTTCCTGAGGTACAGGCACAGGGATGTGATGTTGAGGTTCAGGCACAGAGCTGTGATGTGAGGGATGGGCACACAGCTGTGATGGTGAGGGATGGGCACAGGGCTGTGAGGGATGGGCACAGGGATGTGATGCTGAGGTACAGGCACAGGGATGTGTTCCTGAGG